GTTGTATTGCCCTCTTGTATGCCAACAAATACTGATTTTAAGTCTGCAACAAGTCAAGCAACACAGACAGTTTTCCTCTACTTCCCTGAGAAAATCCACTTAGCGCTTCTTCCATGTAAACTTTCTTCGAGCTCCCTCTTGGCCTGGCTTCTTCCGTTCTCTGACACGAGGATCAGTAGTAAGTAGTCCAGCTGTAACATAAAAAAAGGAATATTTATGAACCATGGAAAATGTATATTGCCTAGCTGGAAAGTAGGTGAACTGCATGAAATTATACACACCGTATAAAAGAGAAGAAAAGAAAACAACCCCTCAAGGTAAACACTGAGACCTATTATAGTCATAATTTATCAGCCTGGTATAAAACTCACAACAGTAGTTCACTTTCATTTGTATTATATTTTTCAAATTTCTGAGACAAATAATGGCTAAATTATCATCTGCTTTCTTTATCCTATGAAAATCATGACTTCTCTTTGACCTTTAAATCTGACGAACTTAAGATCAAGCTGTTGGTGGCAACCACTGTTTACTGCAATGGAAATTATCCTGTATGCTCATTTTTACTGAGACAAAAATTTTAACAGCAACAAGAGGGAGAGAATATTTAACATTGTATGGAAAAATATGGTTAACCCTCATTATTCATGGTTTTTCTGTTTGCTAATTTGCCCGCTTGATAATACTCATTTGTAACAATACTAATGGCACATTTGTGGTCATTCACAGAATGGTCAAAAATTTAAGTTACCCAATGTGCACATTCACAGCTGAGGTTGAATGAAGTAACAGTCTACCTTCGTATTTCAGTTTTCGTATGATAAATATCTTTTCTGCAGCCATATGTCATGAATCTTGCCTTTTTGTGCTTTTTATAATTTATTTCATTGTTAAAATGGCCTTCAAGCTAGGCACAAGAAAGTGGTGACATGCCTTATGTAGAAAAGAAATACTGGCTAAATTCTTTGTTACAGGGTTATTGGCTGTAAGCTCATATATATAACAAGATAATGATATGTAGTAAATGTAGTGTCTTTAAACAAACACATGTATAAAAAAAGGTTATGCACAGTGTTTAGTGGAGCTCCCCAATTAAAACAAGCTTGGAAGCAGGAGTGGCATCCACTTCTGTAATAGCTTGCCTCTGGATACCCTATGTACCTGCAGAAAGGACGAAAGTTATACCGGTGCCCAGGTCTTCCGTTCATAGGGTTCCTATGAGTCACCTCCAACTTGACAGCACTTAACAACAACAACAACAGTAAATGTAGTGTCTTTAAACAGACACATGTATAAAAAAAGGTTATGATGCACAGATTATTTAAGGAAATTGTGACCAGAGGCTTGTAGGAACTTAAACTCTGTATATTCTCCCTAGCAACAATGGTTCAGTATGTGTGCTCAGTTTCTCTGGTAATTTTACAGGCCATAACTACTATGAATAACAAGAATTTACTGTATCTATGGATATATCAAATGTACAGTCAAATACACATGCACACATATTACAGTATATGATTTGTCAAATGTATCTGAGAAAAGAAATGGTTTCATCTGTATAATAACAAAATTCCTTGGCATTTTGTTCCGGAAACTAAGAAATATTTTTTTTAGTTGTATTTTTAGCATAGTTTATTAGCAAGGAAAACCAATTCACTATAAACCAGAAATTTCTACTCTCTTACTCATCAATGACAATGGGAATTTTAGGCAATTAACAAGTTATTCTCAGCAAATGGCCCAAACAGTAGGGCCTAGTATATGAATAAAGACCATAGATTTCAAGAAATACCAGTGACCAGAAAACTCTTAACTTCTATAAACAAATCAAAGCTTTCATTATGTCTTTTTCATTCTAATATAGCACTTAATTTCATTTTAGGTAAAGCTTCCTTATGAATTTATTATGGATCTATTGATGGACTTTAAAATCCTGGAACCATTGCCATCAAGTCAAAAATACTCATAGTTGACCCTTCAGCAGGCTTCCAAGGTTATAAATTGCACAGGAGGAGATTGCTTATTTTCTCCAAGGAGCGGTGGATTCAAAGCACTAGAGCAGTGCTATCCACAGAGCCCCAACTCTGGAGACCAGTACCACCAAGCTTCAAGCACACGTACGCCACAAGTGTACTGAGATATTTATACTTGTAGAATACAGAAGAAAGCGACAGTGTTTTCAACTAAGTGCAGATAAGAACTATCTAAATTATAGTTTAATTTCCAAATAATAATGCTTTATTACTTTAAGATATGCATGTTGTAGTTTTTATGTGTCATGAAGTTGTCTGTGATTCATAGCGACCCTAGGTAAAATAACTTTGAACCCTCTCCTATCCTGAGCCAATCTCATTGTTTCCAACACACCTACTCCCATTACCCAGTGCTGATCCATCTTATCCAGGGTCTTCCTCTCCTGTGTTGTCCCTCCACTCTTCTAAGCATGATGTCCCTCTTAAAGGACTGGTCCCTCCTGGCAACATGCCCAAAGTATGTGTGATGGAGCTTCAAAATCCTTGCTTCCAAGAAGCAATTTGGTTTCACCTTCTCCAAGACTGACCTGTCTGTTCTCTTAGCAGTCCATGGTATGCTCAACACTCTTCTCTAGCACAACTCCAGGTCACTGACTGCTCTTCTGTCACCATTAGTCATTGCTCAGCTCTTTAATTCATAGCAAGTAATTGCGAAGACCATGACCTGGATCAGGTGCATCTTTGTCTCTAGTCTGACATCACTGCTCTTCAATATTCTGGAGAGGTCTCTGATGGCAGATTTTCCCAATGCAATTTGTCTTTTTATTTTCTGACTGCTGGTGCCAACCAGCATCTATCATGTTGTTGCCAATTGGTCCAGTGGTGAGAATCTTTGTTTTTTTGATGTCGAGCTTCAATCTATATTGAAGACTGCATTTCTTGACCTTCAGTAGCAAATGCCTCAGGTCCTCAAGTTAGAATTACTCAGATCCTATCAGTCTATGTTAATGACTAGATATGAATCATATATAATAGTGAATTATTTATTTACAAATGGATTTTTAAGAGGCTTGAAAAACTAGATTAAATACATCCCAGAGGTACGCGGTTCAAAAGCACCAGATGCTCTGCTGGAGAAGGAGGGAGCAATCTCCTCCTGTACCAGTCAGATCTGATTTGACGGTACACGTAAATATAATACAATAAAAAATTTTTAAAAAAAGGAGAAATTAGATTAAATAATAAGCAGCCACCTTTTTTTTGTTTTAAAACTTTTATTGTATTATTTTTACGTGTACCGTCAAATCAGATCTGACTGGTACAGGAGGAGATTGCTGCCTCCTTCTCCAGCTGAGCATCTGGTGGATTTGAACCGCGTACCTCTGGGATAGCAGTGCAGCGTCTTGCCATTAGGCCACCAGAGCTCCCTTAAGCAGCCACTATTTAAACCACAGTATTGGAATCCAGAGAGCAGTGCTCAGAGCGACTGCAGAGATCATTTAATCCGACCCTGTTGTTTGACCAGAAAGGAAATGTTGACCCATATGTATAAGTGAATCCTCTAGAACAACACACACAGCTCTCTTTTCATAAGGAGTGCAAAGACAGCCTTCCACTAGAATCTTTCTGATGTAGTAGTTTCGGAGCAATGTCCTAGGGAAAGAAGAGTTTGTATATTCTTTCTCATACTGTATAGGGAGTCATATATTCACAAATGGGTGGAAAAGTAAACTACTATCCTAGTGACAAGAGGATAATTTTTAATGACTTTCTAATAGAAAGAAAAACATCGGAAATAAAAGAATTATACATTATTTACAACAAAATAGTAACAGCCAAATTATTCATTACACACAACAGAACTAGGATTGCTAACATCATAAGGTTAAAACAAACTTTTTCAAACCTTTGGCCTGAACATTTCATCATCACTCAGAGGCCCACTTCATCTTCTTTTTCTAATTCAAGTTTACTCTATATGGAAAACCAAATTTCAAAAGTACTGTGCTTCTTGAGAATGAAAAGATAAACGAGGAAACTAAAATATAAAACATATATTTAACACAGTACTTTTCACTAAGTTCAGGTGACCAGCAGTATAGAACGGGGAGCTCTGGTGGTCTAGTAGGTTAGGAGTTGCCAGCTGACTCCAAGGCAGGAAGTCAGAATTCATCAGCTGCTCTGAGGGAGTTAATTACAGCCTCTGAAAACCCACTGAAGTGATGGGTTGATACCGACTCAAGGGCACATAACAACAACAGTAGAGTACAAGAATAATGAGCCCTGGTGGGATAGCATATAATGTGTCAAGCTGCTAACCAAAAGGCTGGCAGTTCAAGTTTCACCAGTATATTGACAAAAGAAAGATGCCCCATCTCTTCTAGCATAGATTTTGTCTCAGACCAGATAGAGGGTTCTTAGGAGTTGACCTCGGTAGCAGTGAGTTTTAGTACAATAAAGATCTCTGGCAGCATTAAAGGTTACGTGCTGGCCTCTTACCCAAAAGGTGGTGAGTGATTACAATCCACCAGTGACTGTGTAGAAAAGACCTGTAAAGAGCTTTAGAAAATCTACCTAGCAGCTGTCCTCTGCCCCACAGGTTTACTATTGAGTTGACTCGAAGGCACACAGAAACAGTCCAAGAATCAGAACACAGTACGTATTATCATGCCTTTCCAACTTAGACCCCTACCTTGTCTCATCCACTCGACTTCATCCTCTGTGACAAAACTGCATAAAGCTTTTGCAGTTGCCAAGCGTATTGCTCCAGCCTGTGCGGACCTCCCGCCTCCTGATACTGTGCAGGTCACATCATGTTTTCCAAGCCGGTCAAGGAAGTGGAAAGGGAACATCAACTGTTCTCTGAAGTACATCACAAGTAAATACAGTTAGGTTTACTATAAAGACACATGGCTTTAAAGGACATTCTGAACATTTACAAAAACTGTATTATGCATAACAATGACTTTTCCTATTTCCTGATCAATAATCCACTAAAGCATGTTATGAAAACACTGAAGTGGGCACTATTTTGTGATGCAACTCTGAGAATTCTAAGGTTTATTACTTTGATCTTGCCTCTGGAATCCCTATGAACCTGGAGAAAGGATGAAAGTTATACAGGTGCCCAGGTCTTTCGTTCATAGGGTCAGTATGAGTCGCCTATGACTCGATGGCACTTAACAACAAGAACGGCAGCAACATAGAGAGAGATCAGTTGGCCTAGTGGACAGAAAATGACGCCCCCCAAGCCAAAGGTGGGTGACTCCAATCCGCAGCTCTCAGACCTGCCTATAATTGTTTTTGGTGAAACATTCTTCTAGGTCATATAACCCTGGTACGTCCACTTGCTGTACAGAGGTAACTTGTGGTTGCTGTGAAATTGAACACTGTGACACTGATGAGTCAAATGTGATAATGGTTACTCATGGTGGACAGGGTTTGGTGGAGCTCCCTGATTAAAACAAGCTTGGAAGCAGGAGTGGCATCCACTTTGCAACAGCTTGCGCCTGGAAACCCTATGAACTTGGAGAAAGGATGAAAGTTATATAGGTGTCCAGGTCTTCTGTTCATAAGGTTGCTATGAGTTGCCTACGACTCGACAGCAACAACCTAGTAGTACTTATTTTACTTTTTATTCATTTTTCCTAAAGAGAACTTCAAAAGCTTGAAAATAATGTAAAAAAATATAAAATTTGGAGGACTCCAATGGACTTTAACCTCTCTGGATTCAATGATAAATATATTAACATTCTCAAGCAGTTGTCAAATGCCAATTGGGTTTACCAAAGTCTGCTATGATGTGTATGTATAATATATAATGCTTATCTTGATATTGCTTATTTTTAAAGTTACTAAAATTAATCTCCTACATCATTGGTGAAATGCATAGTCCTATTATAAATATCCACATTGTAGGGTCTTATTATTTCCCTAGTGCCAGGTGACATAGTGTACAACTCAAGTCAGATATGCTTCCTTTAGTGGTCAGTGAGAGTCAATATGGCCCTGGCCAGTCCTACACAGAGGTAGAAAATGGAACATAGACAAAACTTGGCCTTGGACTTTTTTGTTTCTCTCAACTTAACAAGTGTTACTGAACATTATTTATATGCCAGAAACAATGCTCACAGCTATTTCTGTCATACACTTACTATGTTTTTGTTATTTTGTCCTAATATCTCTTCTGAATTTTATTTAGAAAAGTAAATTTCCATTGCATTTGCTTACTTTCAAGACCCAAAAGATAGCTTATTTTAACAGTGAGGATGGATAAGAACAGGTAATTCATGTGTTTCTGTTCATGCTACATTGGCAAAATAATCACATGCACATCAGACAGAAGCCCTGCAAAGAGTATGCTGTTATTTGTCATTGAGTCAGAACTGACACATAAGGGACCCTCTGGGTTTTCCCCAGAGGCTGTAAACAACATGGGAGGAGACTACATCTCTCACTCCTATGGAGCAGCTGATGGATTCAAACCACCTGCCTTTGAACTGGCAGCGCAATTCTTCACCAGTAAAGCACTAAACAGTATCTAAGAGTAATAAAACACCAAATAATTTAATTATCCTACATTTCTTAGCACCGTGGGTTGGAATTTGGAACAAAATAATATGGGAATGAAGCAATTCCTATAGCCATACAAGTGGTGGTATGATACTACATAAACCTCAATGGCTTTTTTTGACAAATGTTTTGAAGGAACAAAACTAAAAAAATACCAAGAAATTATAAAATTAGCATACTAGTAGTCATGTTATTAAAATACTTAAGGAAAAATTAGAGGTTGATGATCTAATTCCATCATTTTCCCAATCTTTGGGCTGTATGTGCACACACCACAGGAAATCTCACATACAGTTATGAGATGTAAATGATGTAAGTGGGCTATGACAGGAGAGAAGTTACCAAGCGAGGCTAAAGGACAACCACTTGTTTGAGAGTTTAAGCGTTTATCCATCTTAATCTCTAAATTTTATCACAGCCTAGCAAGTGCTTGTATAAATAAAGCAGGATAGGATAAAAGGGAAGAAAAAAGACGGTTATTAAAAAATATATTTCAGTAATAGAGAATGGCCAGTGTGAGAAAGAACCATTAAAAAAAAATTTTGGACTGTTAGAAAGTTAGAATACTGCTGAACAGCAGTAAAATATAGCTAAATTAAAAAAAAATACCCCAAAAGGTAACAATTTAAATGGACATTATACAGCTGGTAATTCCAATTAAAGTAGACTGCAAATTAGTTCATACACAAAATAATTATACAGCACAAAAAATATTTCATAATTCATCTCTCAGGAATTTAAGATGAAATTCTGAGTTAAAAGAATAAAATTTACTTTGCTTTTTATTATGAGTCAAAGCCACTTTGAAAATATAAATTAATAAATTACTTTTTCAAGTATATTTTCTTTGCATTACACCTCTATAGTACCATTTCTATGGCTTAAAATTTAACACATAATTACACACGCTCATTTATTCTACTCTAATTGCTTAAAATGCTAAGCCTGTCTCTTCTATTATATGGTGAAGGACAGGTACAGAATTTTATTTCTTTTGTACAGATGATACTTTAAGAGCTGGTTTACTGGCCAACTGGTCTTTCCAAATCAGAAGATTATTGACCTTTGTTTCCCCATAGTACCAGCTATAGAGCAAAAAACACCTGTTGTATAGAAGACCTGATGACTCTGAGAACGCAGCGAAGTCAACACTTCCAAATATATGTTCTCTATTTGTGTAAAAACAGTCTAAAGAAGAGATTATGGAAAATAAGAAGTAAGCGGTTCATTCTACTCTGAGGCAAGCAGCTTAGAGATATGGAGTTAAACTTAACCCATTAATTTCCGCACCAAGAAAAAGAACCAAGATCGCCTGATTCTTGGTTTGGTAGTTTTCCTACTGGTCAAGTGTCATCTTACTGCTAAATCTGTCAATTCTGAGGCTGCTCCTGTGATGGAAAATATCCCTACAGGTACTTAAAGATACTGTGCTGTTTTGTGCGTTCATTCCCATCAAAATTAGCTTTCCCAACTGGATAGAAAGTTTCTTGAGGGTGGAATCATATCTTAAATAGCTTTGATACCTTCATGTTGTTTTTGTTGTTACGTGCTATCAAGTCAAGCATGACTCATAGCAGACCTATGAACAAAAGGCCTGAAGCCTTTCTATAACTATCATCATTTACCTAAGTTCATAGTTTGTAGAGGAATATTGTTTAGGAAGTGGATGCCATAGAGTTTGCAGAGGAATGTTGTTTAGGAAGTGGATGCCACTCCTGCTTCTAAGATATCTTCATAATGCCTAGAATAAGATTTGGAATGAAGAATCTTTGTCATTATCTTCCTAATCCAAATAAAAGAATAAGATTAAGGATATTATTTAATTGTGAGATCTAGCCATAGTTGAGGCTTGCTGTAAGAGACAATAGGTTAAGTGCCTGTGCTTCTAGCATTTTAAATGTTGGAATTATAGTATCTGTGGTATGGGTCTCTCTCTGGCTTTCAATAAGGAAAATAAGAGCTTCTTCTATCCTCTTTCCAGAGAAAAGAATAGAATTAATTTATGTTAAACAGAGCTAAAGTGAATTACTTTTTGATAGTCACTAGTCATACCAATATATATACATATATATACACATACAGTTCATGAAGGATTTTAAAGTCCAGAAGCTTATATTCATTATAAAGGTTCTCTTTTCTTAATAAAAGCATAGCTTAAGAACTTTAGCTTTTTGACCTTTAAAACTGTAACACTTTTAGGAAACAGGGAAAGCATTGGGAAAGAAAAAAACTAACAGAAAAATATGAACTTTTCAAGAAGAAGGCTTTATATAGCAATTCACACAGGGAGTAAGATGAGAGTGCATTAGAGGATCAGGAATATAATACCTATGTTCAAAGTCTATTTCCTCATAGGATACAATATTTGAAATATAAAATTGCCATATTTAACATTAAGAAGTATGCAGAGCTTGACGTCTTGTTTTAACCCATAAAACAGCTGATTTTTGTTCTCCCTATATTTTTATCTAGAAAGCTTGAAAAAGGAAAAATATTTTGAAAACTAGGTAAAAATGTACACGCTTTCATTTGAGTGTGAAAAAATTACATCTGTAAAAAGAAATAATGATGCAGAAAAATATAATGAAAACAAAATTCACAAGTTTTAAAAATTGATTATTAGGTATTTCATAATGTATTTTCTTTAAAAACAAAACAAAACAAAATAGCAACTCACCTGTCCTGTGTCACTGGGAAGTAAAGTAAATAATCAACTCCATTTACTTTTATTTTTCCACTTCCATGTTCATAAACAACTGCTTCTGCTTTTGCACTCTTTCTTTTCCCTTTAAAAGTAAACAAAAAAAAATTTAAAATATCAAATTCCTGTTTTTCTAAAATAACAATATATAAACTATTATACAGATGAACATTCTAAGACTCCTATAAATAAAAACAAATAAACTACCATAATAGATGTAAAAAATAACTTTATTCTTCAATTCTATGTTGGGGACACTAGTGTGATTTTAAATTAGCATGAATAACCAATAAAAAGAACTAATTTATTTACATCTAATTTTAAATATTTACAGTCTTTTCTTATAGTCAATACAATCATAGTAACTAAAAAATATGTGTATAATTAATAGGAAAAAGAAACAGAAACTGTTGAAAATGATGAAGGAATGATACCACTGTTTTTACGGTGCAGATATAACATCTAATAGGTCAATTCTTAAAAAGTTACACTAGGTCAAATGTCTTTGCATGTGTATAATATGGAAAATGTGATTTGATATCCTGAAAAGTTTTCACAAGGCCCACAGTTTTAACAGCTGACAAGCAGGTTCCCTGTGCACTTTTCATATTATAGACTTCTTTACTATAAACTTTTATTCAATCTACCAGTTGAAAATGTAAAAATAAGATGTAATATAAATACATTAAAATAAAAAGTGTTAATGTTGGCATAAGTATTTAGCTACATTTTTTCCCTGGGGCATTATAAGGTTCAGTTTTCTTTTTAAAATTTCAGTAGCAAATTAAGAATTAGGAAACTCAAGAGAGCTGTAGCAAAACTAAGCAAACCAACAAAATCAAATGAATGTTAGGTTACTATAGCAAATAAAAATAATTGTGGTTTCTCAAACTCCACTGAATTTATTTTCTCTCCACAGAATGCTATTACCTTCGCTTGTGCTGAAGGCCATTCCTTGCTCGTCATACTGTAAAGGTTCAATCAGCTGTTTTTGTGATTGAATAGTTACACTTCTTCGAAACCTCTGCACAAATTCATCTTCAGCAGCACCGCACTGCAATGTCAATAATCTTTCTAGCAGCTGAATGAACTGTGCATACTGCAGACAATAAAAATTCATTAGAAGATGCAAGTGTAATTGCATTTGCTAAGTTTTTTCTATTTTTATATACTTGATCTTTCCAATGTTGCTTTTCTTGATGAATTTTGACAGGATGACACTTCTGCATCTTCATGCTGCTTTTAAAACAGCATGCAGATGCATCACATTCTCTGTGTATCTTTAGCATTGTATCTTTTCTTTCAAGAAACAAAGACATTTATAATTCAGAAAAAAGAATACATTTTTCTGGATTATGATTATATGAAATCGATATTTAAATTCATTTTCAAAAAATATTAAGATGATCTTAAAGTATAATGTCTACTCTTATATTAGAACTGTATCAAGGAGCTTTATAAATAATCTCCAGTAAGTTATGTATAGTGAAATGGAAATAGTCTGATTTTGAGAAAATGTGCCTCTTAAATTATATTTCATAATACATTTGGCAAATATAGCTTTGGCTGTTCAAGCTGTGTTACTTTAAATGTTTATGATTTCCTTTAAAACCGAACAATCAAGCTATTTAAAAATTCAAGAGATACTTGACTTAAAGGGCAACCTCTTGAAATAAATTATCCTTGCTACTCTGTGCATTTTTTTTAATAGTTCTTGAACATGTGATTAGAAAGTAAACAACTTGGTATTAACCCCTTAAAATTAGAAGCCAGAATAATCATTTAAAGTGTTTATGCAAAAGGAAACAACTAATACTTGAGATCTCTAGTTAATATGGATTGTGAAACCTAGCTTTTGGTAAGCTTACTTAAGTTTTTGCCAACCCTAAACATCATACTCTTTTTTTGTTATCACTGCCTTTACAGTGAAAATCTGCCACTATGAAATATATAGTGGCCGGGTGCTACTACTGACCACTGTGACCAGACACACATTAGGAGGTCTCAGGTAGAATGACAGAATATGTAGAAGAAGACTCAAATTCCTAAAACATGACAGACACACTGGATGTCAGGAAGCTCATGATGGTGATGTGATGACAGAGACTAAAGGAATCCCTGAGGCTACTACTCTAAAATACTTTGGAAGTTGGAATTAAAGTTATTTCTGCAGGTCACCTTTCAGTCAAATAACAGACTGTAGTGTAAAAGAAAGTTGTATCATCCTGGGTGAGGTGTTCCCTAAAACCATGGTCAACATTTACCTAAAAGCAAGGATGGGGAGGCAAAGAAAGGGAGATTAACAACTGTTCTTGATTAACAGACACAGAACTAACAGAATGGCAACAAGCAGTATGTGAACAATCACAAATAATCTGTAAACAAGCGCTACAAGGCAAAACTTATTTATTAGATAAACTTTTACTTAAAACAGTAAACTATTATTTTTAAAAAAAGCATGAAAGGCACTTGGGCTGCTTCCATTCTTTTATCATGAATAATGCTGCAATACACAGGTGTGTATACTGTATACCTATGTTTCCATCTCGGTTCTGGTTCCTTTAGGGTATACTCCTAGTAGTGAGATAGCTGAGTCAAATGGTATTTAACTTTTTTAAAAAGCACCAGATTGTCTTTCACAGTGGCAGTACCATCTTACATTCCAACCTTCACCAGCATTTGATGCTCATTGCACCACTAAACTTTGCTATTGTTGCTGTGGAGAGATGGTATTTCATTGCTGTTTTGATCTGTATTTCTCTGATAGCAAGGAATTTTGAAGATTTCTTCATGTGTTTATTTGTCAACAGAACTTCTTCTTTGGCAAAGTGTCTGTATTGTATCTTGTGCTCATTTTGTGATAGGGTTGTTTGCCTTTTTCTTGTTATGGTATTAAGAGTATTTTATTAATATTAGTTGTCAGGATGGGCTCTTCCTTAGAAAAAGAAATTGTGTTTCAAAGGGTGGAGGGTTAGTGAAAGAGAGGAAGACCGTCAGTCAGGTGGACTGACAAAGTGACTGCCACGATGGCCTCTAGTGTTCCAAGAAGTATGAAGATGGCACTGGACAGAATGGGGTTCAGATCCGTTGTTCAAAGGATCATTATGTGTCATACTTGACTCGACTGTCCTAATAACAACAACAATAACCCTTATCAAATAAGTCACCACCAAATATTTTTTCCCCAAATGAATGGATAAAAAAACCGTGGTACATCCACACAATGAAATATTAAGCAGGACTGAAAAGCACTGAACTTTTTAAAAACACTATACATGAATGAGTCTGGAAGACGTTGTGCTGAGTATAATATCTCAGTCACAAAAGATGAATACTGCATAGGACCACTGTTATAAAAATAGCAGGGACATGGGGGAATTGAGAGCAAGTAAAGAATGGATAAATAATAAACACTACACTGGAATAGGAGAAGGAGGGACTATCTGAAGGGAATAGGTGAGCAGACATCTGCGTATGGCAAATGACAACAGGGAACAAGATATGCATTAGAGTGAATTGGGGGAGGGAGGAAACAGTGTATCAATAGATGAATGAAAACCCATTCTTTCTAAAACTTTCATTAAAACCACAATTAAAAAAAGTGAAAGTATGAAACACAAGATCAGATACTACCCAACATGACTCGGACCTGAGTCTATATGGGTCGAGAGAGGGGACGGTGTTGGCAATGGGGAAAATGAAATAGGCAAAATTCCCACCAGTAACATTAACATAAAATACTTAAAATGTCTTGTGACAATGACAAATAGAGCAGCAATTTTCCAAGTAACATGAAATATTTAGGCTCCCATGGCACTGGCCTGAAATTGTAAAGAAAAAGGTGTGCCTACCTTTTCTCAATTTCCTTTTCTACAAACTGACAAGTTCTGGAAGCTACAAAGAGGTGGATATACTAGCTTTGTTTGTGAAATAGGCTTAAGAAATTGCTGACCACTCCTACAATTCCATCTTGAGCCTAGTCATAAGTTTCAGTGTTCCTTCTGATAGCCAATACCTCTAAAATAAGTGTAAATAGAGAGCTCTGGTGGCATCGTCCATACAGAACTGTGCTGCTAACCCAGAGCCCATACTTCTCTGGTGGCTCGAATTCACCAGTTACTAGTTGGGAAAAAGATGGGAAGTCTCCTCCCATGTGATTTACAGCCTTGGAAACCTGCTGAAGGGTCAGCTCTGAGTCACCTCCTTGATAGCAATGAGGCAGATTACATACACATACACACACACCCTCCCCTCTCAGTGTTAAAGAACTATGCTGCCAATCCAAAGGCATGTGGCCAGTCTACCAGCTACTCCACAGGAGAAAGATGAGCAATCTCCTGCCACGCAGTTTACAGCCTCTGAAAGCTGGCTTGAGGGTTAGCAACTAGATGGTACATAATTTTTTTTTAATTTAAAAAAAAAAGTCTTGTTTTCAAAGCTTCATACCTGCATTGAATTTCTTGAGCTGTTTCCAAAAGTGGGAGAAAAATGCAAATATAGAAACACTAAAATAAAATAAACAATGAAATGATGCTTCCAATGAAGAAAGGATTAGAGATTATTTTGAGTAGTTCAAGACTGACTTGGCAGCAAGGATAGTAAAAATTAACCATGGATCTACTACTGCTAACTAAATGCCTGACACCTTGATTAAACAGTGCAACTTTCCAAATCATTAATTTCTCCAATATGTTAGACAAGAAAAGAATAATTTAAGTACACCATCTACGTGAAGGCAAGGTACTAATAATGTTAGCCTCTGCTGTGAAGTAACAATCTTGGAACAATTTTGGAAATTTTATCTACATTCTAAATCTTTTCAAAAGTAATCTAAAATGTAAACAATAAAATATTTAAATGTTACACTTTTTTAATTAAAAAAACGAACAACAATGGAACCCAAAAGTATGAGGTCACAAACTGTGGGCCGACAAGTCACCAGGAAAGCTTGGTAAAATATGTACATTCCTGAAATTCCTATAGATTCTGAGCTACATCTCAGAAATGGTTTTTATAATCACTAAAAGAAATTTTATTTGTAATCACCAAATCAATATTCCAAGAGATTCTGATACAGGTGGTTTCGCAGCTCTCAATGACCTTACAGAAACGCACATGAGGTAAACCAGAAAGCAGTAAACTGTACAATGGTAACCAGCGAGTTCATCCCTTTTCTACCAACGCGCTTCATTTCTTTTCTACTTAACCTGTAGCATTTCCTTACACTTATCATTAACTTACAAAATCAGCTATACGCTTTACTGAAGAAAATGAAACAAGACATCTGCCGCACTCTCCTAAAACAACTGGCAGAGGATACAAGGGCATTTATAAAAGGAGTATCTGGGGAATAAGCATGTCACTTTTAAGACCAGTGGTAAGGTCCTCCCATGGTAAATGCACAATGAATGTGTTTAGTTGGTTTTTTTTAATTGTCTTAGGAACACCTGCTGCTGAGGAACATTACTATTAGGATCCTAAATACAGCAATTGTCTGCATTCTTACAGCACAGGACCCCTTAAATTAAAAAGATTAATTACTCACATCTTGATCTGACAGTTTTTCCACTAACATTTCTTCTAGTTCCTCCTTAATCAGCCATCTGCTGCCAATCAGGCCTCTGTTAAAATATCACATATATTCTCTTTTTAATTAACTATGCAATTAGAGTTACATCACAAAAGATCCAACATAACTAGTAATTCATAATTCAAAAACACACTTAAAATAAAAGTACAATGAAAACTCTTTTTTTGAGAATTACTACTCTATTGCCTCAGTCTACTTCAGAAAGCAAACACTTTGAAGAGTGAAATATGCTCCTGTGGAACTTTTCTCTTATTAAAATCTACTAAATTTCTTAAAAATGAAAATTGTGCCTGCTTTTCACAATTTACATCAAAGAGACATCACGGACACAAGGTTAACCAGCCAGTGAACCGAGCAAAACTAAAACCTCACTGCTGTCAAGTTGTTTCTGATTTATAGTGGCCATACTTGACGGGAGATAACAACAATAACAATATAGAAGACTAGAACTGTCTCATAGGGTTTCCAAGACTATAACTCCTTTCTGAAGCAGACTGCCAAAACTTTCTCTTATAAAACAGCAAGTGAGTTTGAACTCTTGATTTTCTGTTTTTGCGGTCGAATGCTTTAACCACAATACTATCAAGGCTTTTCAGTGAACCAATGTATTCCTAAATCCCAAATAAAGGACTAGAGGTGTGTAGGAGGTGTTGAGCTGATTATGAGTCACAGCAACCTGATGTACATCAGATTGTAACCTTGCCTGATCCTGCATCATCCTCACAGTCTCAGCCCATGTTATGGTTGCTGTGTCAATCTCCCTAAGGGTCTTCCTCTCTTTCACTGATCCTCTAACTTTCCAACAATATCTGGTCACTACTGACAATACGGCTCAAGTATCCTTTGCTTCTAAGGAACACACTGGCTACACTTCTTCTAAGATAGTTATGTGCTCTTTGTGCTTCAAGACTTTTATTCTTTCAGAACAAGAAAAAATGTGAAGCACCACAAAACCAAAATTGACAAGTAGTTGCTTACAGGCTTATGTATCTGATCACTGTTTGCCAAATGGGAGCAAAGCTGTGAAATACCAAAAATATTAAAGTCTGCAAGTGCTACTCAAATGTGCACATATGCATGTGTATAAATATTCTACAGGATTTTATTCAAAAATTATCATTTAATACATAAATCTAGAATGAAGTAACAAAAAAATAGCTTTAATACTTGCTTCTTCCCTAATATCAATTATTATTTTAAACCTTAACTATATAGTAAAAGAAGTACAAATCTGAGCCTTCATAAATGCTTAAAAAATACCAGTGTGTCATGTTTTAGTTCAAATTTTATATGTATTTTAATATTTAAAAAGAGAGAGAGAGAACTTACTTGGTTTTAGTATTTTCCAGAACTAGATCTTTGGCTTGCAACTGATTGTGATGTTTTTCTATACCTAGTAGCTTTCCATACGCTTCCTAAGGCAAATAAAATACACATGTCAAAATAAAGAGGCATCACTAGTTATAATTTACTTTCTATTTTCCCTATGTTTATCTTATTTCTAAAGTGGTCTCTTCAAATTATCTAGCAGCAAAATAAATAAAACTGAAAATGCATTAAATAATATTACAGGTTCCCTTCACTATCCAAAAATAGTGTTCCTATGAAAACTTTCATAAGTTAAAATAGCATAAAGTGAAGAATAAATATTAGTTCATATGGGAAAAATCTTTGGGTGTTTTCAGACTCCAAAAATAACATACAAAGCACACCAAATAACACATAAAATCTAAAATAAAACTAACATATAGTGTTTTCAAATACAATTCAAAGCTATGGTGACTTGATGGTGAGATGCTGAGCACAGGTGCTGGGGAAGGAGATGAGGAAGGTCACTTCATTGGCTTGCTGTAAAGCAAAACATTAAATGCGAAAGTCACTTGTCATTAAAGGATATCCCAAACAAAATTCAAGTATTTTCCTTTAAAACAGCATTTTATATAGTAAAATGCACATTAAATGCAGAAAATTGTCAATAAGATTGTGGTATTTATTACTTAACTATTTCCAAATGAGCTCTGGTGGCCTAGTCGTAACTGTGCTGCAATCCTAAAAGCACACAATTTTAATCTCCTTGCTGCTTCTCAGTCAGAAGGGCAATCTCCTCAGAGTGATTACTGCCTCTGAAACCTTGCTGGAGGGTCAGCTGTGGGTTGGTTTCGATTGATGGCACAAAACAACAATAACATTAACCTAATAGTTAATGTTTAAATAATATATACACACCAAGTAACCAAAGTCTTAAAAATAGGAGATTTTTAAAACAACTATAAGATACCATCTCACCCCAGTAAAGAATAGCAAAATTCAACAGAGCAACAAACAACAAATGCTGGCGAGGTTACAGAGAAACTGGAACCCTCATTCAGTTGGTGGGCGTGTAAAATGGTGCAACCACGATGGAAGGCAGTATGGCGCTTCCTCAAAAAGTTGCAAATAGAAATACCATTTGACCCATCAATTCTACTACCAGAAATATACCCTATGCTGAGAGAAATATCTTAGTCACAAAAGGACAAATACTGCATAGTGCCACTGTTGTAAAACAGGATTGACAACGGAGTTCGGGGGAACTTAAGAGAAGAAAAATAATGTATACTGCATTGAAACAGATAAGGGAGAGAACTGTTTAAAAGGGATATATGATTAGGTATTTTTGTCATGACAAGAGTCCAGAACGAAGGCTGAATAGTGGAGTGGACTTGGGGTGGGGGGAACTGTTTAACAATGAAAGAATTTCTCTTTTACTTTTCAAAGAGAAAAGCAAACTAGGGGGGAGGGGGAGGGATGGGCAGGGAGAAAAGTGCAACAATGAATGGATGGAAATCCAAAATCTGTAAACTTACATTAACATTAATAAAAAAACCAAAACAAAAGAAAAACAGATTTTTTTTCATTATTCAATTTCTATTCATTTTCTATCCAACAAATTATCTGAATGTGTGTCACTTGTTATACTGCAGTGCAAGTAAGGGAAAGTTTGTCACTTTGTTAGTACTTGTTAAAAGCAATAATCTGATAACAAGAGTTAGGATTATCAAGAAAATAAACTTTCCAGTAAACTAGTTTGTAATAAGCAGAATTAATACAAGGATCTCCCTTTTCCTTTGCCTCAGCATACTTGTTTTTTGAGCAAGCACTCACACACAATATATATATATTTATTTATAGTTTACACATAAGCTTATTTTCAATTTAATTAACTATATTAAAAACATCCGTAGACAGAAATCTTAAAATAATATGCTAAAGATGATATAAATGGTATATTTTTCTGCCCAATTATTTTTCTTGCTAAATACTAGACAAATAATAAATATGATAAACTTATTTTCTAGCTTTGATGCACATTCTGTTATATAAAATATGATTTTATTAGCTAATAATACCATTAGCTAATATCTGAGGCCCCAATTTGCTGTTGATGGAGATGCTAATCTGTATCTCAGTCGTTATTCATAATTCTAAGCCTGGAGGACTTTTTGTTGGATCTGATCAGACTGCCATATTTACATCATCATGTTGCCAGTAAGAAGTGCCCCTCCATCACTGTCTTTGTACATACTAATGTCGGTATTTTAGTATTTTATTTTAAGTCCATAACATATTTCAGGAATCCATTTCTCTCATGGAAGAAAAAGAATTTTAGCATGTGAAGACCAACATGCATACAGGTGGGAGCAGCTCTGGAGGGGTAGTCTACATCTCAGAGAGTTATAAATCCTCAGAGAAGGACACTGAAGTTTATTTCTTTTTAGTGGTGAGATGCACAAAATAAATTTGAGGTTTTTTGGTAAACACTAGAGGCTGCACTGATGGCTCTAGAAGGAAGAAATAAAAAAAAGCAGAGAGAAGTGGCACTTACTGAACACTGGAAGTTGTGAAAACTCACGGGGACCTATGAAGATTCTTAGAGTGGCCATGAAGATCTGAATAGATGAGTCTGTAGGGAGTTTTGATGCTAAACCAAAGGTGCTGTCTCTCTGGAGGTAGTAGCTATGTGGGAGAAAGATGTACAATCTCCTTCTGTGTGGTTTACAGCCTTAGAAACCCAATAGAGGGTAAGCTATAAGCTGCTGTGAGTCAACAGCAATGATTTGAGATTATTTTTAAAAAATAAGGATCTGAAGCTAAAAGTGAGTTAATGACTCTAGCGTAGTAATTCTTAATATTACAGTCCTCAGACTAAGAACATAGGTATAAAAGCCTAGGACTAGTTGGCAATGTATAGCACAAGTTTCATTCTAAATTTAAAAAATTAAAAATCTGCTTGTTTAACTATGACTCCAAGCGATAAAACACTAAAGTTTGAGAACTACTGGGAATCTAGTCCAAGAACAGCAATGGGACAAATGAAATAATCAGTGTGCACATTAGATATAATTACATCCAAAGTGCAAAACTACTTTTATCAACTGAGGGAAGTTCTTATAGTTAAAAAGACAAAACCAAAATTCTCTACCCTAAAGAAAACCAGAAATAATCTGACCCATTCAGCATACAGAACATCTCCTATTACACAATCTAAAATAAAAATTTTATAATTTTTCTCCCAAATAATGACGAATCTCAATTGTTGATGGTGTTCTCTCTCAGTGACACTGCTGTGGAGGTGGAACCAACTCAAAGTTGATCTTCTGGTGGGTTTTCAGTGGCTGTGAATTACACATCTCTCCTCCACTGAGCAGCTGGGAGAACTGAACTGCCGGAGAATGCTGCCTTTGGGCTAGCAGTGCAACTCCCTGTGGACTATATCCTTTTAAAAGAGTAAGATGATGGAATATTACTCCAGCAGGACAGTTTATCAGCATGGCTCTAAAAAACAATTCTCAAATGTTCTGAACTAGTGAAACAAAGAACAAATCCCTACAAAAGAAACCTTCCCCTATTTGTATGAGCACAGAACAGCATACCACTGAACATCTAGAAGCTTAGCTGGACTGCTACCCAAATTAGATGTTCTAGAAAAGGAACATCAAGATTGGGCTCTCGGTTAGTCTGGTCTTCAGGCTTGAGGTTATGAGAACACAAAAATCATTGATGTTTTCTCTCAAAACTATTTAAGATATTTTTAATACCAAAGAATTACAATAACTCAGAGGTGAGCCAAGAAAATATGGAAATTATTAATTTCAATGATTCAAAATCATTAATCATATGCAAGCAAAATCTTGCTAAAGATCATCCAAAAATGGTTAGAAAAGTACACTGACAGGGAACTGCCAGGAATACAATCTGGATTTAGAAGAGGCCTTGGCACTAGGGATATCACTGCTGATTTCAGATGGATCCCAGGTGAAAGCAAAGAATACTAAAAGAATGTTTATTTGTGTTTTACCAATGAAGCAAAGGCATTTAACTGTGTGGATCACAACAAATTACAACATTGAGAAAAATGCGAAACCAACCTGTTCTCCAAACAGAATAAGGAAACACTGCATGGCTCAAAATCAAGAAAGGAGTGTGTCAGTGATGCATCCTTCCTTCATACCTTTTCAATCTATATGCTGAACATATTATCCAAGACGTTAGACTTTAGGACGAAGAATGTGGCATCAGAATCAGTGGAAGACTCATTGATAACCTGTGCTATGTAGATGATACAACCTTGTTTGCGGAAACTTGAGGACTTGAACCACTCAAGGACTGCATTGCCTGGATTGCATTTCAATATCAAGAAAAACAAAAATCCACACTACAGGGCCAATAGCCAGCATCATGATAATGGAGAAAAGACTGAAGTTGTTAATGATTTCATTTTGCTTGGGTGCATACTCAACATTAGCACTTAAAAATATCAAGAGACATATTGCATTGGGAAGTTTGCTGTCAACCTCTTCGAAGTGCTGAAAAGCATCTTAGTTTAAAGATTAAGCTATACCTAAGCCAAGTAGTAATATCTTTTCAACTACATCTAAGTCGGACAATGAACAGAAGATGACAGAAGAATTGATGCCCCTGAGTTACTGTGATGAAGAAGATTATCCCATGGCCTGACAAAAGAACAAATATGTCTTGGGGAAAGTACAACCAGGGTGTCCTCTGGCAGCAAGGATGAAGTTTCGTCTCATGCACTTTGAGCACTTTGTTAATAGAGTCCAGTCCTTGGATAAGAACATCATGCTTGGAAGGTGGAGGGTGAGCGTAAGACAGAAAGACTGTCAAGGAGAAGGATTTACACAGTGACTGCAGCAATAGGTTTCAGTATGTCAGAGACCCTGAGGACGATGCAGGATAGGACAGGCGCAGGACAGGACAGGTTGCTAGCTGCAACCCTGTTTTTTATAGGGTTGTGATGAGTCATACTCAACTTGACGGCATTTAACAACAACTTTGCTTTTAAGATTTTATTTCTTTTCCTGGAAGAATTGTGAAAAGAATAGTACTTTACTTGCTATTACATACAGAGGGAGCT